AAATATAAATCTCTTCCAGTCAGTTGGCCAGGTGGCTGTCCAGATTTCTTGGTGTGTCCTGGGCTGGGTCTGTTTGTTGAAATATGTCAGCTGGTATTTCATTAATTCCTAGGTCCTTATTTTATTCCAGTTTGTTCAGAGCAGCTTAAATATCCTCTTTCATCACCATTACTTCTTGATCATATACTACTTCATTAAATTCTTTGGTGTCAGCAAATTCTTTTTGATATAGTGACTCTGTGTACTCCATGCATCTGCTTTTGATGCTCTTGGATCATTCAATATTCTGCCCATGTTGTTGTTGTTGTTGTTGTTGTTGTTGTATACCATAGAGTCAGAATCAACTGATAGCTGACACTCCAGTGGGTTTTCAGAAGCAGTTAATTGCACAGGAGGAGATTACCCATCCTTCTCCTGTAGAGCAACTGATGTCCTCAAACTACGTGTGTTCAGGATTGTTTCTTGCCATTAGGCAACAAAATCTCATCGCATATTCCAACTCAAGGCTTGAATTTGTTCTTCACTTCCTTCACCATAAGAATTGCAGTGAGAGTTCATCTCTTTTTCCAACTTAAGCTCTTGGCACATTTCATTATAATATTTCACTTTGTCTTCCCAAGATGCCCTTTGAAATCTTCTGTTCAGTTCCTTAACCTTCTGATTTCTTCCCTTTGCTTTGGCTTTTCTTCACTCTAGTACAGTATTCAGAGTCTCTTCTGATATCTGTCTCCATCTTTTCTTCTGCTTCTATCTTAGTAATGCATTTTGACATTCTTCAAGGATGATATTCTTCATATTATCCCACAGCTCATCTAGTCTTCATTCATTAGTGCGCAAGACCTCAAACCTGTTCTTGAGATGGTTTTTTACTTCAGGTGGAATAGACTCAAGGTCATATTTTGGTTCTTAGGGATTTGATTTCATTTTGTTTAGCTTCAGTTTGAACTTGCACATGAGTAGTTAATGGTCTGTTTCACAATTAGCACCTGGCCTAATTTTCACAACTGATACAGAGCTTCTCTAATGATTCTTTCCACAGATGTAATTAATCTGATTCCTATGCATTCTATCAGATGAGGTCCATGCATAGAGTCACTATTTGTGTTTTTTATGGAAGATATGGAGACTAAGGTGCGCCTGATACAGGCCATGGTATTTGCAATCGCTTGTTATGCATCAGAGAGTTGGACAATGGCTAGGGAGGACAGAAGGAGAGTTGATGCTTTTGAGCTGTGGTGCTGGAGAAGGGTACTGAATGTACCATGGACTGCCAGGAAAACAAACAGATTCATCTTGGAGAGGATTAAACCAAGCTACTCCTTGGAGGCAAGGATTCTGGGGCTTCGTCTGACATACTTTGGACATGTTTCCAGGAGGGATGGGTCCTTGGAGAAGGACATCATGCTGGGCAGAGTGGAGGGACAGCGCAGGAGGGGAAGACCCTCTATGTGTTTCACATATTTCTTCATTCACATTGTATTTCATACAATCATTCCCATGCATTATGTTTCCTAAAACTGATCACCAATGATCTATGCTCACTATTACTCTGTCTTTTCAAGTCCCCATTAAATCTATCCTAATTCTTTCACCTCCTCCCTCCAGCCACCAAGTTCTGTAACCCTTTGATTCCCTCCACTCCTGCACCTCAGCCTCCTTGCCCCATCTCCTTCCTCCTTTGGACTTTCATACACATCTTACAAGTTATCCTTCTATTTTTATAATAATGTTCTTATACAGTATTTGTCCTTATGAGACTGAGTTAGTTCCCTCAGCATAATGCCTCTAGCCTTTCCCATGTTATACAGAATTTTTTTTTAATCATTGCTCCTGGGTGCTGCATAGCATTCGTTTGTGTAAACACACTACAATTTCTCAATCCATTCTGTTTCCTTTTTCTTGCTATTGTGAATAATGCTTCTATGAACATTGATGTACAAATCTCTATTTGTTTCTCAGTTCTGATTTCCTTGGAGTATATACCTAGCAGTGATATAACTGGATCATATGGCATTTCTATGTTCAGCTTTTTGAAGAAACACCAAACTGCCTTCCAGGGTGGTTGTACTATTTTACAATCCCACCAACAGAGTATGAGCGTTCCAATTTCTCAGCATCCTCTCCAAACATTTATTGCTTGTTGTCCTGTTAAATTTTACCACTGCTCCTAGGATGAGATGATATCTCATTGTGGTTTTGATTTTCAGCTCTCTTATTGCCAGTGATTTTGAGCATTTCTTCGTGTATCAACCATCTGAATGTCTTCCCTGTAAAAAGTCCTTCCATATCTTTTGACCATTTTATAGTTGGGTTATCAGACTTTTTCTTGTGGAGGCCCAGTGGATTTTTTCCTATAAATTTTTGTTATGTGACCCTTGCCTGAGATGGCATTGCCAAATGATATTTTCTAGTCAGTAGGTTTTCTTTACACCCTTTTGGTAAAAGTTTTTGATGCACACAGAGACTTAATCTTTTTTTTTACCATTTAAATAATTTTCTTTTTTTAATTGATTTTAATGAAAGTTTACAGAGACTTTGAATTTCCATTCATTCATTGTTCCGCTTTGCTCCCTGCCCACCCCTCCCCCCCAAATTAGCTTTTCTCTTTGAAAAGCAAAAGAAAAAATTCTCTCTTTGTTATTCAAACCCTTCCCCCAAGTCCACTCCATTATGCTACCTTCGTTCTGGACTCCTGTCATAACAGTAATATCTAATCATATATCCCTTTTAAACAGTTCACTTCCTCATCTATTTCAATGCATTATACATTATTTGTCTTTTGAAGGTCTCATTCATCAATATTGTCCTCTCCTTTTGCATTTCTGACTGTATTTGCCAGCCTATTTATATCATAAGTTAGACTTTCTAAGTTTTGTCCCATTTTGTCTCCTGTGAATCTTATGGTTTTAGATTTTACACCTAGGTTTCTGATCCACCTTGAGGTGATTTTTGTGTATGGTGTGAAGAGGTTGTCATTTCTCCATTTGATAGATTTTGTTTCCTTGTCAAATAACAGTTGACCATAAGTACATGGGTTAATTTCTGGGTTCTCAGAGAGATGCAAATCTAAACAACTATATGATATCATCTCACCTGAACAACAATACCAAAGTTCCATAGGGTAATATATAACAGATCCTGGTGAGAATGTGGAAAGATCAGAACTCTTATTCACTCCTGGTGAGAATGCACAGCCACTATGGAAAATAATCTGGGACTTTCTCAAACAATTGGAAAAAGAAAGAGCATTTGACCCAGTAATTCTATTACTAGGAATGTACCCTAAAGAAACCAGAGCCACAACTCAAACAGATGATGTATGCATACCCTTGTTTATTGCTGTGTTAATCACAATAGCAAAGAGAAGAAACTCAAATGCACATAAAAAAATGAATGGATAGAAAACTATGGTATATTCACACAATGGAATATGATGCAGTATTGAAAAACACTGAACTCATAAAACATTACATAACATAGGGGAGCCTGGAAGACATTATGTTGAGTGAAAATATCTCTGTCACAAAAAGGACAAATACTGCATAACACCACTGTTATAAAATAGGACAGACATGTGGGCGGGGGGGGGAATGTGAAAAGAGTAGATAGATAATGAACACTGCAATGCAACAAATAAGGGGAAGAACTGTCCAATAGGAACATATGATTAGGCATTATCTGTATGACAGCAATCTGGAACAAGGAGTGCATTGCAGGGTGGGATGGGGGAGGACCAGGGGATGGGGGAAGAAAATGTGCAACAATGAATAACTAATAATAATTAAAGAAAATAAGTGAAAAAAATTTCCGGGTCCCTCATTCTATTCCCTTGGTCTTTGTGTCTGTCACTGTTCAAGTACTATGCTGTTTTGGTTACTACAGTAGGATTTGAGATGAAGAAGTGCTGTGCCTCCCACTTCATTTTTGTTTTGCAGATGTGCTTTGCTTATTCAAAGTCTATTTCCTTTTCAAATAAACTTACCAATTTCCTTTTCTAGCTCTTTGAAAAATGAATTTGGTATCTGTATTGGGAGTGCTTTAAACATGTAGATTGCTTTTGGTAGAATTATCATTTTCACTCTTGAGTCTTCCTATCCAATGAACATACCATGGACTGCCAAGAAAACAAATAGGGTCTGTCTTGGAAAGTGAAACCAAATTTTTCCTTGGAGGCTAGGATTTTGAAGCTGCATCTCACACACATTGGACATGTGGCCAGGAGAGACCAGTCCTTAGAGAAAGGCATCATGCTTGGAAGGGTGGAAAGATGGCGCAGGAGAGGAAGACCCCAGATGAGTTGGATAGATACAGTAATTGGAGCAATTGGGCTAAGTGTTGGAGTCAATGAGATAGGACAGACCAAGCTTCAGAGCTGTTGTTCATAGGTTTGCTATGAGTCACTGGTGCCTTGACTGCATGCAACAACAAGAATATTCATGAACAGGGAACATTTTCCCATTCATTTAAGTCTTTTATTGCTCCTTGTGTAGTGTTTTGTAGTTTTCTTTTCCTTTTGTGTCTCCAGTTAGGTTTACTCTCAAGTATCTCAATTTGTGGTTAGCTATTGTAAATGGTATTGCTTTCTTGGCTTCCTTAACTGCATTTTCTTTGTTACTGTAGAGGAACCCTACTGACTTGTGTACATTGATCGTGTATCCTGCTACTCTACTGAATTAGTCTGCTTGGTCTAACAGTTTGTTGAGTCTTTGAGGGTTTCTGTATACACTATTATATCTTCTGCATTTAGTGATAATTTTACCACCTTGTTTCCAATCTGGATACCTCTAATTTCCTTCTCTTCTTGTATTGTCCTAGCAAGTACATCCAATACAATATTGAACAGGAGTAGTGATGGTGAGCATCTTTGTCTGGTCCCTGTTAAGAATCTTCCTTTTGTAGGGAACAAGGAGTAACTTGCTGAAGCGTTACTCAAGGAATGTATAGCAATCTGCCAATATGTGCCTGTAAATTGATCTTCTTGATTTTTTTTTTCTCACCAGCACTGGCCTGTGTTTGTGGAGGTGAAAGATCTTCTGACATTGGTGCCACCTCTGGTGGGCCTGAAGGGGAATCTGGAGATGACACTGGCCTCAAGACTGTCTACTGCAGTAAGTCACTACTGGGCTCATAGTGCACAGCAGCCCAGGATGGGTGTGCTCCCCCATAGAGTTCCTTAAGCAGCTCATGGGGGGTGGGCTGGATTCTCAGAGCATGGCCTTTGGATGAGGTGGAAGGACCAAGGCAAGTGATACCAGGTTCCATGATCTCATTCTGCTCCCCACTTGCCCCCTGTATGCCTGTTATCTCTTCCTTAACCCATATAACACTTTGTTCCCACAGTCAGTCCCTAGGCTGCCTTGATTATTTATAGCCTCCTGGACTTCCAGCTCCTCCATACTTATACATAAGCCATGGTGAATGGAAGATTTCAGTGATCAAAGACAGCCTCCAGTCATCAAGCAGTCTTTGGTAGGGCTGCTACTGTGGAGGGTGGAGCTGGGAAGTAAGTGGGTCAAGACACTGGGCTAGGGGTGGGGTCAACACTGTAACTAATGCTTAACTCCACAATAAGGGATGTATCTTTCACTGCTCCACAAATTGCTTGTCTGTCAGATACTCCTCTAAATCTGAACATTCAGATTAAGACAGACTAGGAAGAAGGATTGGCCACCCACTTCTGAAATAG